CCCCCTACCCTCCCACCCACTTCCTCGTCTCCAAAAATTCTCCTTACATCATTGTTCCTGTGACTGAAGACGATGAACTCCAACAGGTCAACGGCGGTTTTCATGTATGCCTATAAACACGTAGGCTACGGATATCCCATTTCTGTTAGGGGTATTTAATATCGGAGCGTTAACAAAGCACACTATAATTATTTTCTCTACTAGAATTTCATGTACATGTATACAATAAAATATACTATAGCGCTTTTATCAACTATGTTTATAGTATTTTATTATTTATTATATCCACTGTACCTGCTTAAATGACAAAAATTACACAACTGAGTGTCACTTATACGGGCACCTATTGTATGGACTCAACTACTTCGCAAAACATTTATAAAAAGAAACAACGCTCATTAACTACACGTTATTTTGCCATAATCTAGCCGTTGCAGAAATAAAAGAACTGTTTGAATTTTGGAGAAAGTATTCTACAAGTATAGTACAATGGAGAAAAATGAGAAAGGTAAAGTTAATATCTATATTTTTCACTGGATTTCTGCATCATACAAGCCACTGTGTCCTCTATCTTAGGATGAATGTTATATACTTAAACTGCTCAAATATATTAGATAGGTTTCGTGTGCCTGCTTTATTTTTAATAAGATAAGATAACATTTATTGTCCAATAGGCATATTTTTAATCGGTTACCAATGCATGTTATTTTATTTATCACCATTGAATTACAGTAGCCTATATAGGCCTATCAATCATTGAGACAAACTAATGTTTGTGTTGATACACAAACATCACGCCTCCATCGCTACCCTGGCATTGTTTAGATATTGCAAGCCAAAAGGTAGGGTGTTTAATGTTATAATATTGAATGAGTTATTCAGTTGGTTTAAGAATGACACATTTCTTCCCCAGGTTCATGCTCGCCGCCTGAGCAAAGAAGTACGCGGAAGTCGAACGATTCTGTAAGTACCTGTACATCGGCGAATACACTGTAGTCAAAGTACAATAGTCATATTGTAATAAGACTGCTCCCAGGTCAATTTATTCAAATTAGGGAATTCCGATCCCTAACAGAACGAATACGATTCCGTCATCAATTTGACTTTGTAATTTTTGAATTTCAAAATCAATATACAAAAATAAGCCAAACAAATTACCGTATAACTTACAACTACGGTATATACAGTATTCAAAACTGTAGAAGAGCTGGGATTTAAAACATACAGTATTTAATTTTCGGACCAAACAAAAAAAATCATTTGCTACTTTACTCGAAATTAAACTTCGCTGTAGCCTACTTTTTAAGACATTATTTTATTCGAAAACATGTCGTAGGCCTAGTTTAAGATTACAAAAATGCAACGTCTATCCTGTTCGTCTTGTGTAAAATATCAACGAAGTATCTATACTTTGTTCATTAAAAAAAACATCAAAATTTTACTCAGACACCAGCTCAACAAGATGATGATGATAATAATAATAATAATAATAATAATAATAATAATGATAATAATATTAATAAGATGACATTATTATGTCATCTTATTAGGCGCACGTGTCCATCTCTTGGTGGAGCTGCTCGCGGCACCGTTTTCAACCTGCAGAGTGTACATGTAGCATTTTTTCTGCATTATTTTTTCTATTGATTAATTTTATTTTAATTATTTATTTTTATGTATATTTCATGACAGAACTGACATGATGGGAAGATAGGCAAAATAAAGACGCAAATACTCTTCGGGGTCACCATTCATCACCACCTTGGCGCATGGACCTCTGCCTAGGTGGCTCGAACAAGGAACTACAAGAAGATAACAATTTACACAATAATGCTAACAAAACAATACTAAAACCATAATAAAAGACAGTCAACATTTGTTTAGAAATGTCGCAAACAAAATGTACTCGTTTTCTATTTACAAGTTGTATATCAACGATACTTTTTTGGGCTTGCTCTAATTAATAAATAAAAAATAAATAAATAAGTAAATAAATAAATTAAATTAAATTAAACTTGTCATGTAAAGCGCCGGTGATTACGATGTATGTTGTAGAAATGTGCGCTATATAAATGTTAATGTTAATGTTTAAACTAGGTCCTGGGTTAAGACTTTGTTTTGCTCATTACCCTTGAAACTAAGCCAGACACCAAAATCTCTAAACTAAATATACTGCAATATGGAAACGGCATAACGGGGGGAAATTGGGTACAAGGCCATGGGGATTTAATATGTCACTGGCATATATCAAAACCACACGAAGATCTAAAGTACGTAGTGGCCGTTCAAACGGTAATTTTCCATCCGTTTATTTCTTGAATTTCCGTGAAGTCAACCCTGGATGGGCAGGGTAGTTAATAATATACCGGCATACAATATACGGTACCTTGCCAACCATTTTTTTTTGTCGTGCAAAATATATATATTTACCATATAACTAAAAGTTATATGGTAAACGAAATGAAGCTTGATTAATATCAACTTCAATCTTTGGTCAAAACAAAGTATCCTGATATGCATCTATACTCGGATCATTTAATTACATAAATTAAAAGCTGTTCAACGTTGTTGACTAAAATGCGCTTTTTTTCTCCCCCAAACATTTTCATTTTAGGCTAGACGAATTGTAAACGGAGAAGAAGTTTGTCATCACTATGGCCAGTATCCGAACTTCGATCACCACTACCCTCACAACAAACCCAAAGCACACCCAAGTCACCCATGCCATCGTCTTCACAGCTCCCCAGGCACACCATAAACGCATCTGTAGGATCTCAGCCGCAGCACCTTGTCGGAGAAGCTTTCAACAGGAAGAGCATATGGGAAGAGATAGGCCTGTACAAGACGATCGCACAAAGCTGTTACTCTTCTAAGGCCATATAATTTTGCCTGTTAAATATAAGTTTAATGACAGTTGAATGTTTATCTATAACCAAGTCGAATGTATATAACGTACTTTTGTAAGAGATTTATATAGTTTGTATGTTGCTTCAGCATGATCGAATGCGGTTAATATTATTGCTCTCGAATTCTTGGTGTCCCTAGGTACAAATTCTTGCACTGCAGGGTTTTTATCTATTACGACTACAACTTACAACTTTTGTTATTACATCATAATTATGTTCTTATTCGAGTACTTTTATTTATCTATTTGTTTTTTATTTGTTTATGGTGCTGCGCAGCAAACCTAATAGTCATTGAATATACAGTACCTGTATAGGTTATTTCAGCATGAGGTATAATTTTGGCTGAGTTTTTAAATAATCGAAAAAACCAACACAATATTGTACTCATAGCGTAGTTATCCAATGTCTTGTATATGAATTTATCGTTACAATAACAAATTTAAATGTAGAATAAGATGTGTATAAGAGACAGGTGTATATGTATATAATAAGCCTATATACTGTAGCATTTATATATTAAAAAAATCAACCTTACTAGTCCGTGTGTGTGTGGGGGGGGGGTGTTGCTTCAGCATGACTGAATGTGGTTAACATCCTTGCCCTCCAATCCTTGGTGTCCTCTAGGTACAAATTCTTTCACTGCAGGGTTTTTTTTATCTCTCACGACTACAACTCCACTTCCCAGCACAAGTGAGATAAAGAGATTTAGCACAGTATTCTCTATGAGTATACAAAGCATAAGTTCATCCTGTAATTGGTGGTACTTGATGTGAGACAAAAACAAAATAAACAATAAAAATACTGTATTATGATGGTATCCTTTTTTTGAACAGAATATTTATGATTTTGTCTCGCTATCGCAATGAATAACTTCATTCCGTAGTTGGCGACACTTGCTGTTAAATGTGAAATGTGAAATAAATGAATAAAATAAAAAAACTGTATTATGATAGTATCCTTTTCTTGAACGGAATATTTATGATTGTGTCTCATAATATTGTAAGCCTATATTATTTAAAAGCATGGGAATCACGTACAGTATCTTGAATCATTGGCGTGATTGTGTTCATGGATGAAAATGAGAGATACAAAAAGAACATCATCACATTGAAAATATCGTAAACGTCCGTCGTCACTAAGTACAGTCCGTAACGCATATGCGCTCGTGCGGAGGTGAGGGCCCGACTCCTAGCGTCCCTGGCCCCCCTACCCAGTGTCGTGTCTAGGGTGGGGGTGGGGGTGTACACCCCCAAAAATTACTCGCGCCCCCTTTCCCCCTCAAAACAAATCACGGTCAAGTAGTTAAAAATCACCTAAAATCACCATATTTTGTGAGATAGCGCCCCTCAACTGATCATCGAGCCCCCACTTCACCTTTGGCCCCCTTCCCCCCCCCCCCCATCAGCTCCCAAATTAAAGACTTCTGCCCCAACCCATAGTGGCCTCGATCTAGCGCCCTGACCCAAAAGACCGTTGTTGATACATAGCAGAATAATGTGTGACATCAACTGTAGGGCAAGTATCAATATACCGTACCCATTGACGGATTAAGGGGCCCCTGGTTTGCCAAATTTGTGAAAACAATAAAAAGAGAATGATATTCAAATTTCAAGTCTGATTGCCATTTCCGGCCATCTGAAGGTGCCATAATTACCTCGACCCTAACATGGTGGGGCTGAGGTGGTACAGAACCTCAATCTGGGAAAGTCCCTCCCTGCGGCCCTCTATTTCAAATCCTGCTAGATCAGCCACTGATATATTTTTCTCATCGTTAAAAAAATTTTATAATATATTAAATGACAAACATGATTAAAAAAGCTACACGCCACAATATGGAATTGGCGACCGGGATCGGAAAAGGGCCCACAGTCCCACAAAACCACAGAAATTGTTACAACGTAGGCCTACACGGTAATTCTAAAAGACATTTAGGAATTCATTTTATATTGTACCCTTTTTTAATTAAAGTTGATAAAAAAAAGTCTTATAAAAATAATTAAATAAACATATAATATGAAATGGAGATTATATTAATTAATTACTTAATTAATTAATTCATTCATTCATTTCATTTAGTCATTCGTTCATTCGTTCGTTCGTTTATTTGTTCACTCATTCATTCAGTCATTCATTCAGTCATTCATTCATTCGTTCATTCGTTCGTTCGTTCATTCATTCTTTCATTCATTCGTTAATTCATTCAGTCATTCATTCGTTCGTTCATTTGTTCGTTCATTATTTCAGTTTCACGCATTTACTCAATTCATTTTATTTTTTCAGACTCAATTTAAATACATTTAGCCTAATTCTACTTTTGTTGCATTTGGCGTCCAGGGCATTTCTGACAGAAATTTAGTCGTTCTAGGGTTAATGTTAGGGGGAATACGTTTTCTAGAAGGGTGGGGTCTTGCTTTGGAATGCACTTCCTAGTGAAGTATCATGTTTGACTTAATTTCAAATCAAGGCTCAATGAGGCATGGTCCAGCCATCCATTGAAGTTTGCACCACACGCTAACAGTGATTTTATTTACAAGAGGGGCTTTTAAGCACTGAGTGCTTTGCCTCGGTCCCGTAGTAGTTACGGGAAACAAGTTTGAAACAAGTAAGGTAAATGACATTCAGTCAGTTCCTTAGTTTAATCATGGAGGTATTATTGTACTGAATGTATTAACTAACTATGTATTTTGTATTTTAAGGCACCCCCTCAATATAACAACCAATAATGACCAATCAAAAGCAGCATTTAGGTCAGGTGACAGCAACCACAGCAGTTTGTTTTCTTCTCGCGATCTGTTTCTCTCTGTCTGTTGGAGCATCTTTGGATGAACAACATTCGTTAACTACGCCTACGTATCGAATACACTTGACTTCAATGTTCTTATGATTTATCAATTCAAGGTACTAATACTAGTGAAATTGAGATTGAAATTTGTTTAACAATAACTAAATTAGACAATTCCATCATCATCATCGGCTAGGCCTAGCAGTAGCTGAGTAGTGTGGACCTCACCTAGACCGGGCCTAGGCTATTTAATTACATACGCACACATACGCTCATTATGTTGCATAGGGCCTAGAGAAGTTGTAAATGCTAAGAAGGGGTGAGGCTAGCCTAGCTTGGTAGGTGTCGCATAGAGTTGTTAGTATAACTAGGCCTAAGGCTTAGGGTTAGGGCCTAGGCCTGCTGCCTAAGGAGTTGTTATCTAAATAACTACCTACGCCCTGACTGAGTGAGGCTGTCTGTGATAATTGATAGCACCTCTTTTAGCCTAAATAAACTTATTTAGGCTTTAGTTTAGGCTACAGTAGGTCTAGTCTGCTCTACTATTAGCTAGTAGTAGTAGGCCTAGCTAGGCTGTAGGCTACTTATTTGCATTTTGACAACATTTTGCATAATTAATATGCCTGGATAATAATGACAATAATACTTTGGGCTTCAGGCTAGATTGTTTTATCAGGGAGTTGTTATTTAGAAGGAGTCACAACAGAATCCTCTCTTTTGATCAGTCTACTTTTCCGACAAGATAACGAAAGCAGAGAGGTAGATAGCGACGAGGTCCAATTACCGAATATGAGCATGTGTAATAAACCTTCTTATGCTTGTGACGAAGAATTTAACGCTTGAGTAAACTTGTCATACTACGCTTTGTTGACAAACCAAGGAATGACCTGAGAATCAGCGATTATAGTCGCCAAAAAGCATGGCAACTAGAGAGAGTGTCAGTTATCAACTACACGCTAGCGTCAAACCGCTACAACAAATATGCCCCTATATCATTTCCCTGCTACGAAAACATGTTCAGTTTGAACTCAAATTACGTTTCTGTACGAAACTGTAAGAAAATGAGACATAAAGAAAATGATAGTTAACAAGTTGCATAAACTATTTGTCCTGGTTATAAAATGGAGATACGTGCGGAAAATATAAAATATAAGCTTTAAAAGTTACAAAAACCCATGAAAATTACAAATGACGGTGTACGAACAAACACATATTGCTCCACTTCAAATAGTCGTAACTTTTTAACGAAAAGGCGAATTTTTATGCGGTTTTTTGTAAATTATTCTTCGTAAAACTCTCTTGAGATGCAAATTTATTGAACAGCGAAAATTGAATTAAAAAAAACTCTGTGCATGCTCTACTGGTCACGAAATTATTTTCTCTACAAAGTCAAAATTTTAACAACTGAGGGCGCAAGATCGTCGGAAAAGTACCCTATTGACAAAAGACAGGCAGCTAGTCACGGTTCTCTTTGAAGATTCAGTACACCGAGCTTCGCTCATTGGCTGTAGATAAGTAGATAAATGTGTTGTGACTCCTAAATAAATAACAACTCCCTGGTTTTGTTTTGTCACCTGTTTGTAGTATAGGGAGTTGTTATTTAAATAAATGTATCTAAAATATCTAAATAAATTATGCCTAAATAACAACTCCCTGACTGTACAGTTTATTACATTCATCAACAAAGACTTGTTTCCAGTTGGGGTCTTTCTGGTCACGTAAATTGAGCAGTACTTTTTTCTGAAGAGTGTACAGATAATCTTCGCAAACATGCACATGGGGCCATATTCCTCACAGAACCAACAGTTTTACGTCTCATCCAAAAGATGGTGTGCTATCGTAACTTGTATTTCTGCCCTCCAAATGGCCGAGCAGTTAAGGCAGGGGCACCGTGATCATAGCCAACAATATCGGCACAGGTTCGCGGCCGGCTCGCTTTTATAGTTCTGGTGGTGGAACAAGTCTTCTCGGATAAGGACTATAAACCGTAGGCCCAGTGTACACAAATGCTCATGTGTACCCAGTACATCTTTCTTCTCAGGGGAGGAGAAAGTTATTGAAAAGTGCAACATCTAGTCCCGAGCGCATAGAGACCTCGTTTATCTGCGCTATATAAATCCATCTATTATTATTATTACAGGGATAGCAGCAGATTGAATTGAACCAGTGACCAGTCCATAGATCCGAAAGGATCTCCACGGTTCAGTGCACGCATAGTAGCTGTCACTAATTGGGCTACCACCAGTTTAGCCGACTGAGCTAAGCTGATTAGGTACAATGTATTTACTTGCTTTTGTTTTCTGTCAGCAATTCCATTTCCTGAAAGATGGAGTGCAGATCTGGAGGTCTTCTCTTTACCTCCAAGCTTGATTCAGGTAATTTAGCTCGTGTTGAACGGGTGGTAAATGAAGATGAGGATGCGGCCATCATATCAAGGATTGGTGACTTAACTCCAGTTCCCGACTATGAATACAATGTATGGACATCTCCGGATTGCGAAGGCACTGAATTTGAAAATGGAAACAGGTGTGTAGTAACCATAAAATAATGTTATGGTCCGAACATACTGGCTTTAAACTGCATTCACATCGCATCCAAACCAAAATTTGAATCATGTTTCTGATGCTCTAAATGCAGCTTCCCTATTCTTAATTGCTAATTTGATTTTCTGATCGGTTCAGTAGCCTTCCTGATCAAAAAAGTATACAATATTTTTTTCCATAATATTCTTTATTTTAAAACACCATTTAAAAAAATGATTAAACATTTTTAATCATTAATAAAACTTTACATCCTTTTGTTGACAAAAATAAAAAATGATACAATACGATTAATAGACATCCTGTCTGGAACTGTACAAATCCAAAAACTTCAGTGGCCAAACTTTTGAATGTTAACTTTTAGTTATATTATAGAGGAACTATATTTCCTCCATGGTTAGAGCATGGTTTGCAAAACATATTACTCCCTACTTGAATATTTGACAAGGTTTTTACTTTTGTTTCTGGCTATCAAGGTCATGGTTTCACTTTGCAGTGAAAGGAGGACCCATGAACAAGCTCCTCAAGATCAACATAATGAACATGAATCGACAGGGAAAACTTTACAACCAAGGCATGGCACCAATGGTTAAAGTACTCCCTCAAAAACCAAAGTGGGAGCGTATTCGTGAAAGACCAACATTTGAGGTAAAGTTTTCAGTATTTACTGTAATTGAAATTATCACCGTCTTGCTTACTGTATGTAAGGTAGGTGGTAGTAATTTCAGGGGCGAGCTAGGGTGGGGAAAGGGGGTAATTTTAGATTATTCCACTTTGATGTGACTAGTAGTAGTAGTAGTTTTTCACCAGAAGTTAAAATTATTGTAAAATAGTATAAAAGATTTTTTGTTCTTTTTTTTTTTCAGAGTGTTGATGGTCAGTTTATTTTAACGTTCACCTATCGTTTTGAGTATCGTTTTTCAAGTGTTTACTTTGCGTTTTGTTTTCCATTTTCCTACACCGAGTGTCAGCAGAAGTTTGAGGCAATTGAATCTCAAATGAATCAACAAACAGTAAAGAACAAGTAAGTACATGATTTCAATTAGTTCTAATCTTGTGCGTAATCTATACAGTAAAAACCATTGCAATTAACTGCAAATGTGTTTGTAAATGCTATGCACAGAGTCAAAACTAAGCAGCATATTGCTTGTATAATAATAATATGGTATTTATATAGGGGCAAGGAATTACAAGGTTGCGCTCAACTACATTAACTTAACTACAATAATGGTAAAAAAACTATTTCTTGCCAGATACCAACTTGTTACAGTGGCTCTATTTATTGTTTCATAGTAGTAATTCCCAAAATTTACAGAATTCATTTTGAAAAGAGGCTCCCCCCCCCCTCTTTACTTTATTATTTTATTTATTTTATTTTATTTCAAAAATCATCCAACAGCAGAAGCCAATTACAGGATGTCTTATAATACATATAAATATATAGAAAAATACAAACAAGTGAAAGATCAATGGATAAATAACATTACAGTATAGAATGGAAAAGAGAAATTTACAAATATATTGCGAGAAATTACATCTAAATTACAAATTGATTAATAAGATTATAGTATGAAATGGAATAGAGAAATTTACAAAAATATTGCGAAAAATTACATCTTAAGCTAAAAATTGCAAGTTCAAAAAAAAAAAAAAATACAGATAAAAAATCCAGATAAGTAAATAAACAAACAATACAAAACAAGTAAATAATTAATAAAATTACATTGCAAAAAAGCCATCTCGAAAAGAACCCCCTCTAAAGTTTGCAAAAAAAAGAAGCCTACTGCTTCAATTAAAGTTTTCACTGTATTTGATGCTACCTTCCGTATCAACTTGTTTTGGGTCTCATATTGAAGTACTGTACAGTAGGGAGGTCTGCATATAGGGTGGGTTATTCCCAGATTGTATACAGTCTTGTAATTTAGATATTTGATTGATCTTGTAGCAAGGATGTTTGAATCTCTGTTATTCATTTTATTTAAAAACATGCTAATTAATACTCTTGTTTACATTACTTATACTTTGATTTGAACATGTTTTATCACCCAGCACACCAGATGCTATATACTACCACCGAGAATTGTTATGCCACAGCATAGACAAGCTACGTGTCGACCTGGTCACCATCACATCTCACCATGGTATTACAAATGCTAGGGAACCTAGGCTGATGTACCTGTTCCCTGATAGTCAAACACCTCGAGCCCACAAATTCAAAAAGAAGAGAGTAAGTGTTAAAACTAAGCATCCACAGATATTTCTGATCAAGACCTTGATAGAAAGTGCATAATACAAAATTAATTTATGGATCTTCTGGTATATTTTTCTCACTAATAGATCATTTCTCAATACCAAATTTATTATATTTTTAACAACATTCATCCAGCACACCAGATGCTATATACTACCACCAAGGACTGTTATGCCACAGCCTAGTCAAGCTATGTGTCAACCTGGTCACCATTTATCAAGATCTCGATCTAGATAGAAAGTATTCCATAATACACAATTCGTTCATGGATTGTCTGATATATTTTTCTCACTAATAGAGTCATTTCTCTTTACCAAATTTATTACATAATTTCTATGTTAATAATAATAATTGTGTTTTGGTTCCCAAAAATTTACATACACAAGCAAACAATTTAATAATATAACATCTCTTTGTGGTAGTAATGTTCACTTTCTTTCATCTCATTTAGGTCTTTTTTCTTAGTAGTCGTGTTCATCCGGGTGAGACCCCTGCAAGTTTTGTATTTAATGGTTTTCTAGATTTTATTCTACGTCCAAATGACCCAAGAGCAATTCAACTAAGGAAACAGTATGTCTTCAAGCTCATACCACTATTAAACCCAGATGGAGTAATGCGCGGCCACTACCGAACCGACCAGCGTGGGGTCAACTTAAACAGGGTGTACCTGAATCCAGATTTTGAGATGCACCCTTCGATCTTTGCAACAAAGTCTGTTTTTCTTCACCACCATGTAAATTCCCGTTTATGTAAATCAAATGTAAGTGTATCTAATAACGAAGGACTGTGTGAATCAAAAAATATTGAAAAACCAAAGAATTCCCAACAAACTACACAATTAGACCAGCCTGTTATTGATGGACCAAATGCTATTTTATTTGTACACAATGAGGAAACAACAATTTCCACTAATGAGACTGATGAAAACAAGAGACCAGTAACAAATCCAATTCCAGCATTTGAATTGGAACTTCCGCAAAGCATTGACCAGCCAGTGACTGGCCAAAGTGTCAGTCTTTCAGTGCTACATGATGTAAGATCAGAAGATACATTCCAGTTACATACACTTGAGTACTCTGATGAGCTTGGCTCACTGGCTGAGCCAACGGTCAGCAATGACAGTAATTTATCTGATATTCAACAAAGGACTGAAATTATTCAAGAAGATTCAATCAATACCAGTACTAATAATAAAATTGATGAGACTAGCGCCCTCTCTATACCTCCGAGTGAGAGTGGAATCGCTTTCTATGTTGACCTCCATGGTCATGCTTCCAAACGTGGCTGTTTTATTTATGGGAACCATTTTGAGGAGGAAGAAAAGCAAGTTGAGAATCTGCTCTTCCCAAAGCTGATTTCTATGAACTCCGCTCACTTTGATTTTGATGGATGTAATTTTTCCGAGAAGAATATGTACACAAAAGACAAACGTGATGGAATGACCAAGGAAGGAAGTGGAAGAGTGGCGATGTTCAAAGCCACTGGAATCATTCACAGGTATCAGAATAAATTAATATGTGCTGGTCTCCCTATCTGTCTGTCTTTATCTACCTACCTATGTCTATGTATCTTCGTAACTTAGTCTGTCTATATCTACAATGTCTGTCCGTCTATACTCTCCGTATCTACCTATCGGTTTCTCTGTATATCTTGCTATCTTTCTCTCTGTATACCACGTCTTTGTTTATTTGTCTCAAAACAACAAAAAATATAAGCACCTGAAAATGTGAGACAGGAACACCCAAAAAGTGAACTAAATCACTATTGAGGAATATCATTTAATATTTGCATTAAGAAGATCCACATTAAATCACAAACCTGTCTGAACATTTGAAAATATATGTTAAATTATTATGTTGTTATATTTTGCAGCTACACTTTAGAATGTAACTACAACTGTGGCCGTTTCATGAATTCCATAGCTCCTGCTACCATGGACAACGGGCGTGCCACACCTCCTCCTGTTGCTGGTTTCCCACCAAAGTTTACCATTTCCCACTATGAAGAGGTAAGCTAGATCACTTATTAGTCCCATATGAATAACTTGATATTAGTAATGTCAATGGTAATGATATTGATGAAATAGTGGTTAATACTGTTGATCATGATAGCAAAGATCGTATGATGACAAGTTCTTATTGGTGGGAGCTCATGTTAAGAGCTAACAACATTCTCTAAGCTTACTGAGAATACCTGGGGCGGATTGCTATAAGTGGTCTTTAGACGGTCTTAACACTTAATCAGCTTTAATCGTGACTTCACTTCTGGTCTATGATTACAAACCATTGCTATACCGCGGTCTAACCAGTTAGCAGTCTTAAATTTCAAAGCCTACTCGGAGGAGGCTTAAAACGATCTTAAATCATTTTCATCATGGCGTTACAGGTACTAGGCCTAGATCGTCAAAGACTAAGAATAGAACGACGGATATTCCGCAAGCTTCTCAGTGTCTGTAGAAACCGGTCTACATTTATTTACGTTCATTTTGTTAAATATGCATGTTTTGAGAAAGTGTAACAGTGCCCTCAATATTATGTTACCAGGGAGTGCTTGTTTGTGTTTCAATACTAAAAGCAGTCTAATTGAAGACTGTTTTATAGCAATGGTCTTAGCAGAGTGACTTTAGTAAGACTGTCTAAATGATAAAGCCGGCTTTATTCGAGGAGTTAAGACTTGTTAATTGTTACTTTGTATAGCGCCTTTATTTTCAGTTACGAAGTGCTGTAAAGACTAGCAGTTGTTTAGACTGTTTTATAGCAATCTGCCCCTGACTTGAAAGAAAATTTTACATGGGACTTACGCTAAGTGTTAAACAGCCTTCTCCAGATATTCCTACTGAGGGCAAATTTGTTTTCACATAAGTGTATTAAAACCTTTGATATTCATACACTGATGTGCCTTCACACAGACACAATATAACAGTAAGCAATTTTCTCTAGCGTGCGACCCATGTAATGTTTGTATTTTTATTTGTATGTGTATTTGTATTTGATGGTGAATGTAATACGATAATCTAAATTTTAAATTTTAATGAAATGTATAAATTTTGAACTAATGGTGTCCGAAAGCTCTGGTTTTTTTGTTTTTTTTTAGCTGTTTTTTCCTGGCCTTGTTGTTTCTGTATTTTACCTTTTAAAAACTGTACATATATTTATATAATAACAATCTTTTTTTTTCACCATTTTTTAAAACACTTCTTGATGTTCTTAAATATTGTATACTTTTTATACCTTGTCGATTTTATACAGTTTATTCCTCATTTCCAGCAACCAATTTTATTTTATACCTGTTTATGTTGTATTGAAACATAATAAAGATAACTTGAACTTGAATGTAAGGTTTCTACACACAGGTTGGTAGGGCAGTAGCAATAGCAGCACTGGATATGACCAACACAAACCCATGGTCAAGGCTTGCTTCCACAGACTATCAAAGTGTACATGGTATGCGAACATGGGTGCAAAAGTACCTACGCAGCTCAAGAGGTGCACCCTCACTGCCAAAGAAGATGTCTCGGGTTATTTCACGAACATCGGGGTAAAAGTGAAGATTTTCTTATTTTGTTTACATAATTTACAAATGATTAGAAATCCTTGGAAACATTCTAAAAGCATAATAATATGCATTCCATTGATGTTACACTGAGTTACAGAATGAGCTAAAAGTAACAAAAGAACAGGTGGAACAAATACCATGTGAACTATCTTTATATTGTAATGTAATTTGGGCACCTACATTGATCGTTTAGAATTGTGGCAACGGCAGCAACGACCAACCACCAAGAGCGACCGAAGTTGACCAATGCAGTGCAAGACTCAAACCAGACAGCCATTGGGCATGGTGGTAATGGTCAGTCTAAGAGCACCGGCAGCTTTACCTTCACTTCTGTCAACCAAACACGAAATTCCACAGGAAGTTTCAATTATAATAATTTTAAGAAAGGTGCCAATGTAAGGACTTTAGCTCCAGTAAGAGGTAGGATATTTGTAAGTCATTATTGTGTAACAATAGTGATTGATTTCAATCAGTCAATCACCATTGTTGTAGATACAACTTTTTTTGTTCGGGCAAATAATGCCTGCAAATCAGGCTTCAGGGGAACGCAGATAGATGTATTGAATTTTTAAACATTTTTCAAAAATTTCCAAAAAATATCTGTCATATTCATGTTAGCCTATTGATAAGCACATTTTTTAGCATTAGCTTTTTACATCCTCATTTTCTTCATGTTAGGAACAAATGCTTAAACTTTGTTTCATATCCTCACTTCATTTACATTAATTGGATAGCTAATTTGGATTTATAGCAAGTACTCAAATCTCAGGCTTTCCATCATTATATCCCATATTAAAAGCATTCCTATACTAGATATTTTCTTTAAATATTTTGGTAAAAGAAAAGAGGCATTTCTAAAATTCATAAGGTAATCAGAAGTTTCTTTTTATTTATTTAGATTACCGATTGATGTTAGATCGAAAGAAGGTGACAAACGCAATCACCACCAGCAGTTCACAGGGTAATGCAGCTGAAACTTCTAACCAACCAAACTGCACAAACAATAACAACAGCAACCAATCGGATCGTAAGCCTGTTGGAGGTCAATTTATTAACAACACTCTACAGAGCATGACAAAATCCCACCAACAAAAAGCCGACCATGGGCCGTACAGAAAAATAGATGTGATTGATAGTAATTTGGGAAGTTTAGCATTTAAACAACCAAATTTGGTAAGTCTAAGTTAGTTTACTTCATTTTATTTGCAAATACTAACATTGCTTTTATATATACATTTTCAGAATATTATTCATCCACCCTAATTTTAACCCACATCCATAACAATTTTGATTCCTTCAAAAACTTGTGTTATGAAAGTGGAAAACTACTACTACTAGGCCTGTAGTAAGTCTGTTTAAAATCTTTTTAATCTTTGACCTAATTTTGTTCAAAAGGTTAAAATCTTAAAAGTATCAATAATATAATAATAATATATGTATACTTTTTGATATAATAACAAGAGCAAATGTTATATCAGGCCAAAATAATTTCTGTATTTTTTTACTGTTTATGGGAGGACAACCTTTTCTTATGTTATTATACTTAGTTTAAGGAGTAGGCATTAAAGCTCAGAACAAAGGTCAAGCGCATAGAGGCTTTATGCATTATGCGCTCTATAAATCCATATTTATTATTGTTTTATTATTTATTATTTTCCAAATGATATACTCATTTACATTGACTAGCAAACTCAAACATATATTTGATTTAGACTCATCTGAAAATTTCTTACATCATACTCATGCTCGCAAGTTAACCATTTTTATTAATTGCACCACAAAATCATGTAACATTCTTGAATTTTCATTGGATAATATTCACTTGTGTTTTACTTGCACTTAACCTGATCAGTCATATAGTATTCCGTCACCTCATATGAGTTTGACACCACTCACTGCTAATGGCGACGAGAATGGTCGGGTGGCCATGCATCTTTCAACAACGGTAAGTTACTAAACTAAACATCACATATATGCCAGTCTCTTATAGAAAATCATAGATAATACAATGAGGCTTTGGACTTTCAGTCTTGATGTTGTGGGTTGGAGGCCAACACTGATCATAAGCTGCTTGTGTCCTTGTTCAAGACAATTTATCTACATTTGCATCTGTTCACCCACTAGTGTAAATGGTTAGCTAGTAGGAGGTGGGTAGTTGAAAGTAAAGTGTGTAGTACATGACTAGGAGGAATACTCCCCATCGAGCAGAGGATGTTGCATGTTGTGTTTGATTGACTCTGTATCAAATAAAAACAGAAAAGAGTGTCTTGAGCAGTTCTTCTGAAATGGATGTCAGTGTAAAATATAATTTAATGCCAAGGCCCCTATAATCTTTACATCAGTATCCTGGTCCTATGGAACTCGGCTTTCTGGCAGAGTATTTCATCAAGTTGCAGAGCCTAGTAATCATCAGTGAGCTTTCAATAGCACGACAATGGTGAGATGTACAACATAACATGACGTACAATCTACTGCGCATGCAAACACGTTGAGTTCTCTATATACGCAGTTTGAGAATGCACGACCGTCACGGATAAGTGAATTCATCCTAGGGCCACATCATTGCCCAAATGTAAAGATTCCCTTTTGGGTTAAATCCTACCACCAGCTACCAACTCCAGGGTAAAAAGAGACATCCGGATAAAGAGCCCAGCCAGATATCACAGGTTGTCAATAGTATGTCTAATTTGACAATGTGATCTGATTGGAAGCCTGCAGGTTTTCGGCTGCTCAACAAGCTTTCATATTAAGCAATTTAAAGTATGTGTTAGAAATTCTTTGTAAATTAATAATAATATGAGAATAATCTACATAACACTAAATAACTTAACTAATAATAATTTGCTGTAGTACAAAGTATAAGTTAGAATTTAAATTGATTTAACTTCATTATTAGAAAATTGTCAAGAATAAATAAAATCAATAAATAAGTATTAGATTTCCATTTTGCTTATTTCCTTATAAAATTCACCTGTCTTTACTGTACTTTAGAAAGTGAGTACAAGTTATTGCAGACTGCAAGGGCAGTGTAATTGTATAGGTAGTATGTTTATAGCCCTTATATCAATATATACTCCATTTGTGCATTGTCAATACATACAGTACTGTGGTATCTAAAAATATTGAATTAGTTGTACCCCGTGGGAGTAGGTTAATGGCACACCTATCACCCCCTTATATAAATACAGGAAGCTTACTTCTTGTGTCAATACAGGAAGTTTACTTACCATATTTACATGAATGTTATAACAGTATTAGATGTAGTTGACCAGTCGTTGACCCATTTTCACAACCTTAAATGCACTTTAATATCTCCAGAACCATTGATATCAATTTCAACCAACATTTTATAGAAATTAATTTGTTCATAAATTGAACACTGTTGGAAAAATCATGTCGATGTGAAGTTGGTTTGGTGGTGCTTACCTCTAATACTAGGTTTCTGGGTACAAATCCTGGCAAAATAAGATGCTCTACTCCTAAAAACTAAAATTCAGTTTTTGGAAAATTCCAAATGATCAGCTTTGTTGAAATGGTCTGTAAAATGCTATAGATTCTTTAGTATCTGATTACAGTTATACTTGAAAACATTTATGGCACTTAATATATATGCTAATGTTCTTTATATCTGCTGCCTTCTACAGATGTTAGAATTCCAGGTACTGTAAAACTAAGTCTTAATCAGTGTCAGTTTTATGCCATTTCACTGCCATACTTGTCTTGTTTGATCGATGTGCCTTTAACACAGCAAATATTTTTGTTTGCATGATGAGTGTACAGTAGTAACTTCTGTTGACCATCACTATGTTATGTTGCATCATAACATCAAGGTACTACGTGGCATAGCCTTGTCACTGAGTAACTACCACCAAGCATCTATACAAACAAGTTCCTCCACAAAGTCGTAATTTCCGAAACTTTTTACACTGATGTATCAAAATCATTTCTGATTACAAAGTAATGAAAACGTGAAAGCTTTGGTAGCATTGCTCAGTAACAAATCAGTGTCACATCATGTTGTGACATAAGTACCATTGAAATTCAACCAAACAACTGTTCTAACAACAAAGACAAGCAATACAACTTTTTAAAAACTCAACAAAAACATACTAGGTGAGGTTTTGATTTGTATTATGAAAAAATGAGTATGTACAACATTATATACTGCAGTTGCAGATCTAGAGGAAGGGAATAAATGCAAAAGTGCATATTTTTCCCCTCTTTCCTTTTCCCTCTTTTTAAGCAGGTTGTATTTCTGAAGGGACTATTCTTTTTACCTTGTGACCGTCTGCCACTGTAATGTGTTTTCGTGTGTTTATTACTTGATGTTGGCTCTCCATTGTCCATCTACCATTTTAATAATTATTGTTCTACGTTCCTTTTTCAGTCTCCTGGATTGCGTATCCCAAATGTTCAGAGACCTATCTTTACTCCATCAAACAGGAATCTGACAAGGCTTGACCATCCCAGGTATAGGGTACACAAAGGATAGGGTGACAATTACAGTGACGATTGTGGTAATGATGAAGGTGTCAGTAGTGACAATGGGGGGTGACATATTGATAATTATGTTAATGCTGATGATGATTACAGTATAATATATTAATGCTTGCGGTTGATGTTTCGATTGAGTTGCTTCAATCATCTTCAGGAGAATAATATCTGGATTACAGTATATTTATTGATAGTAATATCTGGATTACAGTATATCTGGATACAGTATATTGATAATAAGGTATGGGGATTGTGGTGATGATGAAGATGTCAATAGTGACAATGGGGTGGGGGGGGGTTGGTGACAGTATTGAAAATTATGTTAATGCTGATGATTACAGTATATTGGTAATAATGTTGATAAAAATGGTACTGATGGTGATGATAAAGATTATAATAATGATAAAAATAGTTGAATTTATGGGTTTTAATTTTCATATTTCATCATAGGTGATATTTCATAATTCCATTCCTTTACAAGTTTTCTTTTGCTCATCTCACAAATTATAACTTTGTTTTTCCCTTTAAATTTTCTTAGGAGTGATCCTCCAAAAAGACGATATAAAAAATCAACAGTTTGTCAGAAAAAAAGGTCAGCTTCCTTGAGCCCAACTCGTAAAATGAACTTGCAGCGAGGTACAAGTGAAGAAACTGACAGTGAAACAGATAAGAAGCTGAATAAGAGACGTGGTCGACAGCATGCTTCAGACAGCTTCTCAGACCCAACTCCATCCATAGGTAAGATGTTGTATCAGTTGTACGTAAGTAAGGGATCATTATCAATATCTAGGGTTTTTTCTACACCTAACTTATTGTCGGCCTTGGCTAAATTAAAGTGAATGATTACATTGTGATTGAATGAATGGAAATATTAATTGATGAATGAATTTGCATTGTGTACATTTGGGATGTATGGTTAAATGTATGGCAGAATGAATACACATTTATTTTTGTGATTTTCAGGAAGCAGGCCTTTCTGCAAGATGGCCACTAAATCTGACAAACAAGTACCAAGAAGGTAGGAACAAAGAATACAGTTTCCTACTTCCCTATTGTATTTTTCTTTATTCAGTTTTTATTGTCAAAACAAGACAGCATGATACAGTCCACCAAGTAGTTGGACAGGATCTCAAAAGCGAACCTAATCACTATTGCGTTGGCATGAGATCTTCAACCACCCACGTACACATACAGCAGAATACAGCATTATGTTCCTTTCATCGTTATGCATCTAGTCCTATAAATTCATTAAAATTAAACATTTTGGTCACCATTGGTATTACCGTCATTGACATCATCGTTATTGTTATTATCACCATCATTGATATCATCAACACCACTCTAATCATCAATAGATTCATCATCGACCATCATTAAATTCACATTTTTCCTGAGTTAAGGTCTGGTTTTTATTCTCCTCCTTTTATTGTTTCCTTAAGATTGGATAGAATCAGAAATTATTTGGGAGTACTGAATTCATCCACACCGGTAGAGTATACTATACTACAGTTATCATGCCAACCTATATGGCATTGTTTGTTGCTGAGGCATGATTGGAAGAATGAACACATTAGTTTAAAATTAATAATGCATGAATAAACATTAGCTTATATGAGTACATTAAAGATCTAACAAAGTGTTGATAACAAGAAAAAGTAAAGACAAGTAAAACATAAAAATAGAATGAAATAAATATTGAAACTATAAAAATCTTAGAAAGATTTAACAATGTAAAATTATGAGAGGTTATTTGGTTGTTAATGAGATTTTCTTGATGCAGTGCAACTTGCAATTCCGAGACCCTGCTAATTCGAGAACACTATTTCAAAGAAGCAAATAACAATCATCAATTTTTTTAACACAAAGCTAACCCTCTAATTGGAGACCAAAACCCCGAGACCACCCCAAATTTTCAAGTCCCAAAGTGGTCTCGAATTAGAGGGCAAACTGTATTTTATATTTACAATTTCATAAAATTATTCATTTACAGTCATTCATTCAGATATGAAAGTGCCACTACAAAAATATGCAGCCAAGGTCTAAAATTATGTTTGTATTACATTTGAAAGGGTTTAAATGACAGAATCACTTGGTAGAGCGGTATTATGATCCTACTTCTTGTGCTGAAGACTCCTGTTCAAATCCAGCTAACGTCGGTTATAAATTACCTTCTTGAATAAACCTCACATAAACATTATAAGGGACAATGTATCTGTTGTATCTGCACTGTGGCTACTGTGGGTCCCCTGGGGTTAGCTATAATTTCCAATTACAATTTCAAATAGGGTAAAGTAGGAAATAGGAAAATATATTATTCTTACTATTACTTATTAATTCTTTATTAATAAATTCAGTAAGTTAAGTTAATTAATATACATGTGTTCCCAACTTAGACCATTTTACAATGAGGATATACCGGTTTTACGACTGTCTCATCGGCAACCAGGATACCCCCTGTATGGCAAGTATCGTACCGGCCTTCATTCACATAAAATTTCATATCCGTGTTACACTGCTAACAATTATATTTTTCACCAATAGCCACTGAATCTTAACTCATAAATATATATATAATCTGCTCCACTGTAATAATTGATGCATGGTACTTTTTTCCCTGGGGAGACATTCTCTCACAACATTTCTTCTTAGAATACCTCCAGCTCCCTGGGAGATGGTAAATAGGCCTACAGTGTCATATTTATTTTTGATCTGGTAGACTGTAAACATTTATATAATATATATAATCTGCTCTTCAAATTAGCACATATGGGGATAAACAAGTAAGGTAATGTTTAATGCATAATCCTTGGTTATTGTATTTAACATGCTGTTCTTATATTGCAGTAAATACATACAAACATGCATGCAATCACTGTGTATATAAAGTACAGTATATTATACATTTTATAAATACCAACTACATTAATGTATACACGTTTGTGAAACGAGAGGTACACAAAATATAGACATTTATACATACATACATACACACATACATACATGCATATAAGTGTTGGTATAATATTAGCAAATATGTATGTTTTCATTCATATGTATTTGCATACTGTACACACATACATGCATATTCTAATTCGTACATACAGTATACACCAATACATACATGGATACATTTTTTTATGTAATAATACATGCATTAACCTGTTTCATGCATGTATGATATTTTAAGTATTAATGTTATATTTAATGGATCAATGTAATTAACTCTACATAATTCAATTGGTGTAAACACATCAATATAGGTAAGGTAAAACTATGTTTGAAACAAGAATATTTGGAAAACATCTGGATAAGAATGCTGCATACTGTAACTAACAATCAGTGATAAATTTATATAGTTAAAAAAACTAAACACAATTTATGTTAACTTGCGTAAGCTGTCTTTGTGTTACTAATTTATAATTACTTCGTCAGGCCGTTTAAACTAGAATCGGTTGTTAAGGACATTGCATGAACAATGCCCTCTGTAGCTGGCTCTGGCATTGTTTAAGCAATGTCCATTACTACTAATGCTAGAGACGGCCTGATGTAGTCTCATAACGTGACGAAAGCTTTTGTAAATCAACATCATTATATACGTTATACTAATAATTAAAATGTAGGAGGCTATGTTAAAAGATCTTACTAAATGATATTCAATTAGTACTGTATTTTTTAACTGTAGAACAGAATTTTTAAATTTTGAAAAATAACAATACTTATTTATAGAAAGTCATTAATAACCCTGAAATATATATTGGTAATTTATTGGACATTAACTATGATACATGCTAATGTCTAACATGCTTAGGCCTTAGGTACACACGTATATGTTTAACATCTGGGCAGATATGCTGTTGATGCACGAATTATACTTACACATGGGACTCTCCAATACTTAGCTTTATAGCAGCTGGACATGAAGGCATAGGCCTAAATATCCATTTTTTATGGTAGTGCCAGTCCACTGCTTTTTTTAAAAGGGCTCTTTAAGACACATCTGTTGTCTGCTGCTTTTGCAGTTAGTTTTCTTTTTTGCCTTCCTTGCTAAGTTAAATTGTTTAGTTAGATACCCATTACTTGAGCACCTGTGAATTATGAATAGGCCAGCCCTGTGCCTCACATTTTCTGTAAACTGTGCGGTGATGATAATGCCTGTAAACATTCCTGATGATGACATAATTAATGTTGAAATATTGAATCCTGACAAGATGGCGTGCATTTCGATACTTAGAGTATGTATTATACTATCTTATCTGCGCGGTGATGTGCGTGATGTTTCTTATTCTGGTAGTTTTAAGGTTCATGTTAATTTTTGGTTCTGTCCTTCTGTAGAGCCTTGAGCACTTACAATTATTATTACTATGCTCGATGCAAAGGCACTGGTTTTCACTTGGGTACATTCACACATGACTGCTAAACTGGGATCAATAGTGTGATAGGGCTAGTTTAGTTGGTATTGTCACCATTTTGAATTGGGTATTGTTACAAGGTTGAATTGTGGTTTACGGTGTTAACAATGAGAAAGCCGGAATCCACTGTAATAATTGATGCATGTACTTTTTTCCCTGGGGAGACATTCTCTCTCACAACACTCCTTCTTAGAATACCTCCGGCTCCCTGGGAGATGGTAAATAGGCCTACCGTGTCATATTTAATTTTGATCTGGTAGACTGTAAATATTTGTTGGATACCATGAACAAAAGTGCATTGTGATCAACTTGGTATCCAGTACAGTTTTTGAACTTGTCTTCTTGCAAAGTTATCAGCTTGAAGATGACTTGCCGCCATCTTTTTTTTAAATGTGGCTGCTTTTACAAAATTTTATTTTTTAGACTATTTTTATCATTAATTTGCTGGAAAATGAAATTTGATTATTCCATATTAAACTTAAGTAAATCACTGTTAATTGGTATTGACAGCAACAACATTTTCATATTAAATAAGGAAGTGTCATAAGATTTGTGTAGGAATGCAAAAGGCCTTGTGGGTAAGATAAATTATCAAATTTAGCAAAGTATTATTCTTCACAATATGATGTCAGAATTCCTTATTAGTAAATGTACACTCAAACTTCTGTATCTTTTGTGGGAGTTATATAGCACAAAGGTCATTAGGCATCTTTCCTGTTGAGAAATAACAAATATCTTTGAATGGTGTATATATCACAGTACAATATAGTTATTAATGTCCTCCAGTGATTGACACATTACACATTGTGCAACTTTGCTCCTGGTGTGAGAGATGCAAGGACATACCTTCAGTCAGCCAAATTAGTGGTAGCCACTGTGTGTAAACTCAACTATAACACTAAAACAGTCCCAAAAGTTTGGCTATTAACTTGTAATAAACCAAAGGTTAGGAGGGTGCAATGATTTTTTTGTGTGATGTGAATCCTATATTTGTAATGAACGAACATCAACACACTAAGCAGTGAACAACCACTTTAACTAAAATTTATAACTCCCTACTTGTTATTGGCATTAACCCTCAGAGGTTTTATGTTGATTCTAATTTTGAAGTGTGATCTTGAATTTCAGACTCAAATAACTTTTCCTATAGCATTTAATAGTGCATTGTATACTGTTTGAAATTGATTTTCCCAGTTGCCTCACAAAATAAAAGTACCAACCTACAGTCTACTTATTAATTGATGTTGAACATGTTAAAATCCACACGAGCTCTTCAAAATGAAATGACACAATGTATTAATTCAACCTACTACTACTTTTACTAAACATTACTGCTACTACTTATTACTTCTATTACCAGTGGGGGTGAGGTGGCATTGGGCTTGTGTTTGTGGAACATGCTTGTGTTCTGATTCGTCAATTGTTAAGATAACACATTGGAAAGGTTTATTGCATGATGCTGTCCATGTCCTTGGTCTTGGAAGACATTCAAGCATCTGGTTTTCATTTATTTTTTGTGTAGAGATATCTTTTTTAGTCTGCTCTGAAATTTTGTCAGTTGGTCGGTTTAGTGCTGTTGTTGCTATTTATTTCCATTTCTAGTTGAAAACTTGCATTTTACAAGTCCAGAACTTAACTTTTTTCATATTAAAAATTATGAACATTTGACTTACCACTGATTGTTTAATTTGCGTAGGAGCAGCGTCGGAGCTTCAGCCAAGGAGACCACCATCAGGAAGCTGCAAGTAGGCCGTATTCAAAAATCTCACTCATTTAATGGAGTAAGTCACATGATTTGTCACATGCAAGTGCAAGTTGAGCTGATGATGATGGTGGTGGTGGTAATGTACATTGTCATGATTGGGATTGTGGTGTTAGTGGTGGTGATAATGGTGGTGTTGATGATGGCGATAATGGTGTTTTTGATGACATGGGTTATAATGATGATGGTGATAGTGGTGTTAATGATAATGGTGTCTATGATGATGGTGTTAATGGTGTTGATGAAGGGAATAATGGTGTTGATGATGATAGTGATGGTGATTTATCAGGAATGGTGTCAGTTCCATTGATGGCAATGAAGACGACAGCAATGATGGTGATGGAGTATGTGTTATGGTATTGAGGCAATGATGACATCATCAACAATGGGGTATGATAGTGATTGATGTGTTTGATGCCATAGACAATGACTTTAATATCAATGATGATAAAAAAGTTAATGAGGTTTATGATAGAAAAACTATTGATGATATTTTTATGATGGAAATTTAATGAATGATGTTGGTCACTATAAAATGTTGTTAATTTCAGAAAAGTTGTGAAGCAGTGTCCTGTCAGGTTGTTGACCTCACTGCAATGCCTCGTAACAAAGACAAGAACTTAGGATTCTGGATTGACTTCTGAAGTTCAGTAAACACATACATAATACGGCAAATAGGTGTACAGTAGTGTATATGTAATGTAAAACCTATTGAAGCAAAACTGAGGTGTGTATTTGCTTGACAAATACAGAGAAAATAGCATTTAGACGGCACTGCTCTCTTGGGAAGTCGAAAGAGCAATGCTCCCTTGCATGGCTTAACTCGTGATGTGAAAGGGATCTAAAAAGTCAGTTATTAGGTATGTAAATCAATGTTGTGTGTTTACTTGTGTGTGCATGATTGTGACACGGTGTTAATCTTGGTTTGTGTCTCTGTGTCTGTGAAGTTTATTTTGTACTTCAGAGGATGGTATTTTGAATGTGCTACAAATTTATTTTAACCAACAAAATTTGAGAACAAACTTTAAGACATTTTTAAAGATTAGTAAAAGAAAAACGTTTTAGAGCATGAATGAGATATTTTCACTGACTCAGATTTTATATACTTTGGATAGTTTTGGACATTAATTATATCAACTAGATATATGACATGTATTTTTTATGCTGCCAACTTAAATTGTATTTCCTCTAAGGAGGTGTCTTAACAATGTCATATTTGCACAATCTTTTGTTGTTTATTTAAAACCAGTATAGTATTTAAATGCAATGAGACACTAAATATTAGTCCCATTTTATATCATTTTCTCTTAAGAAGGGTTAGTCATGTTCTTGTTTATTGTAACTATGTAACTATAATATTTTATGATATAGAAACTGATATGTTTATGATATATTCTTATTGTATATTACTGTACGGAGCTATAGCATATTAACTTTTGCTGAAACTTGAGTGTGTTTTAAATTGACCTTGTATACCATATTACTTGTGCCTAATTACTTCTGCATTTTAAGACAGTATTTTATTGAAAACTAGTATGGGATGAAAGTTTTATTGTATATATAACATATTTTATTAGTCCTAGACAATGTGCATTAATATATTCTAAGCCTTTTTTATACTGTATTTTTATTCCCAATTAACATCATGGTGCAAGGCACTTCATATAATAATAATAATAGTAGTTCAATCTTGATTGAGTGCATTTTGAAGTTTCAATTCAATTAGATCAAAAACCCATGAGCATGCTTTCTGAGGAATTATTTCCTAACTTTGCAGCTAGTAATCCACTTGCACAAGGATGTCAGGACACTACTGTACATGGATACAGTGTCTTGGCCAGGGAAATTTCACAGGTAGAATTAGACAACCTTGGGCATTAACTGCAATCTTTTGATTAGAAGCTCAAATGATTACTGTTACCTACCATGTACCACATGCTTCCGCATAGTGGAGTGTGTACCAGAAGGTATCGGGCTTTGAGCTTACATTTGTATATGAGTGTCCAGGCCTGTATCCAGGAACCAGGGTACTACCTTTTATAGTCAAAGGTGGAGACAAGAGGAATATATGTTATGGGGGTCAGGGACAAAGCTGTCTTTAGCCGAAGCAAACCAGCATGTAAATAGAGAATGTGTTGATGCAAGGAAGGGACTGGTTTGGTTATCAAAAAGGGGTTTCTTTGAAAGCAGTTCAACCTTTAAGTCACACCCTTTTCCCCTCCCACACTTACAGACCTGAGTGTGTGTTTTCTCCACCTCCAACATTTACTGACCTGAGCGTGAGTTTTCTTTCTGTTTGTGACTTTGCTGGTGTTTTTGCAAATTTTTAATACATTTGTCTGGCTTTAACAATGGGGATTTACTGTGGGCTTGGTTTATTTGTTCTACTGTACCTAGTGGTATTTACTGTAGGTTTGACATGCTGGTTCTACTGCTAAACATGTATTGTGTTTGGCCTGGGATTTATGTGCTGTTACGTGACTATTGAACATGTAGTAACATACCTCAAGACCTTGGATAATATTTTCCCTATGGTATAATTCATGCTTTATTATATGCATCAAATAGCCTGGTAATATTTTATTTTTCAGTCTGAATTGACATTCATCGTTCTGTGTGTTAAATGTAAATATCCTGGTCTTTCTATTCCGAATTTGGCTGCCTTGTAAATTTCTGCAATACAGGTCTCCCTCTAATGAAAGACCCCTCCAATTAAAGACCACTTTTCTGTGGTCCAAAATTAATAAATGTCTTATTTTTATTATGCTAATTAGAGACCAAAGCTGCAAAAGACCATGAAAACCCCAGTCCCAAAAGTGGTCTTTAATTGGATGGATAGACCTGTATATGATTCATAGCCATATTTATGTTCAGTTGTTAATGTTTAGTTATCATAATGTACGACTATGACGTCATCACAATGAAATAATTACATTCACATAATTTAAAGGCCAATGGTCGTGGTCTTATAAATGTTTTATTTATAAATTAAAATCCTGCATTGATATACCAAAGAGTAAAAAAAACCAACTTTAGATTAAGCATATTTTTGAAGGAAATAAGTTATGCTACTACAGTATATTGTACACTGTAATCTATGATTAAAACTGTTAATATTGTGAATCATTTATTCTGATCCTGTATCTCCTTGTTTCACAAACATTTTGTATGTTTACTTGTAAGAAAGAACAACAGTATTTATTAAAGCTGGAGATGGAGACAGTTATGTATGTATGTATGTGTGTATGTGTGTGTGTGTGTGTGTGCGTGTGTGTGTATATATTTATGTATGTATGTATGTATGTAATTAGATTTATATAGCGCATAACACCGGGGTCTCTATGCGCTGAATATAAAGGTGTCAGCATATAGAGTTATTTACGATTGTATAATTTCTGGTACTCATAAGCAGACAAGTGCAATGGCCTATCTAGAAGTCTTGAAAAAAACCACCATCTGTTGTATACCACTGGTTGTTACTCTTCGGTAATAAACTAATGTAATTATACGAGGGTCATCAAATACTGTAAATTATTTTCTTATATGCTATACAAATAGAGCCGTTTTATGGAGTTAATTATCTGTTTATTGGACTAATTTGACAAGGGATGTTCTATTGAGCAAATAAACTTGACACAATTAAATATTTTAATAGCATAGACCTATTGTAGGTCCATTATTAGATTTTAATGGAAAAAAGAAAGTGAAATCAATATTCTCGAATGAATATGCCATTGGACAACTGTCCTATACATAAAATGATACAATCGTTTTTAATAATATTTGCAGGCCTAAATTTGGCTGGTAAGCTATTTAATGATTTTTTTTTCTAATACTGTAAAAAGTCATTGACGAAAATTAATATTTATATCGTTTTGTCATTTCCATTTAAATTTGTATGAGTGCCTTTTTTAACAAGCTAGTCATAACCATGCAATGGGCATTGATCGCCCAGGCGCCAGTATCAAACAGTATCACCTTTTACAATACTTGTTTACCGGAATGTTATATTAAAAAAAATACTCTTAATATTCATCATTTGTTTTTTATTTACAGCCAAATATTGAAATGTATGTGCGCATATAAAATCGACATTTGATACCGTTAACGGTGGCGGCGCCAGCAGGGGGAGGGGAAAGAGGTGCATTCCCCAAATAATTTTCTTGCCCCACCCCCAGCTATCCCCTCCCCCAAAAAGAAAAAAAAACAAAAAGAAAAAAAAAATTCTCCGGGGAGAATAAGAAATGATATGTACTTGCTACATAGTATTATTAGTAGGCTATCTGTCTATAAAATCAATTAAACCTTTAAAACCCCTAAATTGCCATATTTTTCGGTGGACCACTGTCAAGACATTTTGAGCACCGCACGACCACACCCACTTCAGGCCACCCCAGCAAATTACCCCCTTAAAAATTTACTTTGTCCCTCACTTGTCCTTCCACCCCAGATTTCAGACGCTCGCGCCGCCACTGACCGTTAAGTTGACGCTGGTCCAGATTATGTAATAGCCACGTTCTTCTTTGTCAGAGCTTGAGGCGACATTTATTGTGAAAGGCTACCATAAACTACGTTTATATTTATTATTATTATATTTATTTTTATTTACAGTCAAATATTGAAAGGAATGTGAACATATCGAAATTCGACATATCGACATAGTGTAATATATAGCCACGTTCTTCTTTGTCAGAGCTTGGAAGGACGTTTATTGTGAAGGCACCATCTAGACGTTTTTTAATACAGAATAATTGCTGACCATATACAGTATAAACTAATCATATATACAGTATATGTACAGTGGCGGATCCAGGATGAAATAGAAGGGGCCCTAAGAGGGACTTTCACAGATGGAGGGTCTACTACCTTAGCCCCACCATGCTTGATTATGGCACTTATGGCCGGAA